CCTTTCTTACCTAGAGATATAAGCTACCAGTTATTTTGGTTGACCAATAGCTCAGTGTATTAGGAGAGACACTCCATGCGCAACACAAAAATATATGGTGAGAGAGGGTTCCCCTGGCTAATGTCTTTGGAGGGGGTGAACTCTTTAGTGATATTCCCATTCCAAAAGAGTTGCATAGAGCAAGATCTGATGATAGTTATCCAACCATTTTTACCTTTATTCTGTCTCATAAAGTGAATGACCTCTTGTGCAATAACGATATTGTAAAAAATACTCTGCCCCTCTATAAAACTCATTTGGGTATTGCTGATTAAAACTGGTATAATTCCCTTAAGCTTGTTGGTAATGATTTTGGTGATGATTTTGTACAAGATATTAAGAAGGCTAATTGGCCGAAATTCTTTGATGTTCGTGGGTTTAGCCAGTTTGGGAATCAAGGTGATTACGGTTCAATTGAGGCCTTTCTCTATCTCTCCCCTTGGAACATTTTCATCACCATCTCACAAGTCAAGTCCCCTACGATGTTCCCATGATGTTGAAAGAAAGACGTGTGAAGGACGTCTGCCCTCGGAGTTTTGGGGGTTTTCATGTCGGAAAACACAATACATATATCTTCTCTAGTGATAGGGACATTTAACATGTTGAGTATATTCGAGGTAAGAACCGAAAACCTACCCCTTATCGTAAACCCCTGGCCCCTCTGCTGGTCTTCAGAGTAGAGGTCTTTTAAAAAACCAACAGGTATGTGCTTAAGGTACCACTCATTAGTGACCAAGTTGTCAGTGCTATCTTCGAGCATAACAATCTTGTCTTGTCTGTGACGAGCCATGGTGTAGCCATAGAAATACGTTGTATTCTTGTCACCATAGGAAATAATTAAACTCACATTTTGATTTTTGCTTACAATACAATCTTTCTTGTAGTAAAACATCCTTCAGTTCTTCATGGATGACTTCCTTCAACCAAAGAAGATTATCAGAGTGAGAATGTTCTAGAGCGTTTTGAATGCTCGAAATTCTAGCCATCAGAGTTATCTTCTTTCTAAAAATATGGCCAAAGATAATGGTGTTCCACTCTTTAGCCTATCTTAAGAAGTTCTCCATGGTGGCCTAGAAAGAGACAAAGCCATTCTAACTATGTTTGACCAGGTTTGGGAAGTCCGGATGGGTGATCCCAGCTGCAAGGAAATGAAACGGTTGGGGCTTCCTACAGTGTGATTGGCTGATTCTAGTTTTGATAAGTAGAGATTTATGATCAGACTAGAGCTTAGAGAGGTGTTGTACTAGTGTCTCAGGAAAGACATTGTATTAGAACGCGTTGGCAATGGTCCTGTTTAGGTGTTGGAGGAGGATGCCTCTCCTCTAAGTGAAGTTCAGAACAACATAATCTACCTAGAGAAGGGAATTATAGGTAATAAACTGGTTAAAGTAAAAGCAACCTTTATTACCCCCCAGTAGCACCACCCCTCCTATTCGAATTATTTAAGATTGTGTTAAAGTCTCCTGCCAGTAACCAAGGTCTTTTGACGCTTAGGCTCAGTTGGTTAAGGTGCTCCCATAAATAACCTTGAACATAACACCTGTCTCCTGCTCATTCTAATGTATTTTGGTGTGGATAAATTGACAGTTATTCACTAGGATTTTTATTTAGATGAGGTCGTTCCAAAGCAACCAAATGCCCCCGAATAAGCCTCGAGCTTCCACTCTATGAGAGGAATTGAAGCCTAATTTATGGATGATTCTGTCAACCCTGTCTTTGGCGATATGAGGTTCCATCTAGGCTGTAAAACATTTTATAAAGAAAAAGATGAAGAATTGTGAGAAAAGAGGAAGGAGAGCTTTTCTAAAACATCTTTGAGTCTTGATTTTATAGAGACAATTTAGAAGCTATCTAAGGTTAGATTGAATTAATTTTTTGGATGACTTGTAGTATATGTATGTTTTTTTATCATTGGATTTTTGTTTTGATAATTAAATTGTTCAAATAGTCTGTTGAAGACATAAGTAGTTTTTAGTTCATTTTAATGAGATTACTCTAATTTTTCTTTTTTATTTGGTCCTTTTTTATATTAGATAATTTGGTACTTGTTTCGTTGTTGAAATGGTATCATTTAATTGACATAATTGACTACATGATTTTTTTTTTTTCCTTTATATTGAATGATTTTTCACATAAATTTGATGTGTTGGTTTTAATTTATATACAGCTGCTCATTATAGTTTTATTTTTAAGAAATTGATATGATAATTAGGTGTCACTTATTGTCTATTATGAGATAAAATAGTCTTGTTCTTTCCACATTTTTGTGTGTTTCAACTCCCAAGTCAACACAAGTGTTACAACTTGATACAATATACCACCAACACAATATAATATGCAGAGTGGTAATTAAATGCTAAATTCAATTTCGTAATATATATATCTACCTTATAAGCTCTATATCTTATGTTATTATTATTAAAATAATCACCCTCAACAATTTACATTCGGGTGTAAACTTATGATCAAAATAAATCCTCTTATAAGTGATCATTAATTTAATTTGTATAGTATACAAGAGCAGCAGAGTGAGTGATGGATAAGTATCATGGTCCTTTTTTTTTTTTTTTTGAATGAAATGGATAAGTATGAGTTGTAACATCAACTAATATGGATGTATATATATATATATATATATATATATATATAGTTATAGTTATTAAGGATAAGAATAATTAAAATCATCGCTTTAGATTAGGATTAGAACATGGAAGAAGTAGAGGATAATAACACGAAGCTTAATTACTTGTTGAAGCCGAAACTCTGAACTGATAGAAATGGTTATAAATCATTATGTAGATAGTTGAATATTGTTGGACGTGCATGCAGCTGTGGCCTAACTTACATACGTGTTCTTTAAGCAACTGATTCATAAGACGCGGATGTTTCATTACAATGTCAAGACACAAGGGGTTGCCACACACACACACACACACACATATATGTATGTATGTATGTATGTATGTATGTATATATATATATGTTATCACATTGTGGGGTATGCTGCTTTTTCTCTTCTTTACTTGGGGCACAAAACAAATCTGATTTTATCATAACTAAATTTTAACTTCTTTATATAAGGAAATAATTGTTTTATATATTTATTTATTTATTTTAAATTGTCAGTGGATTAATCAAATTAATTTCGTCAAATTGGTGAAGAAGTGATGTTTAGTTAAATAAAAAAGAGTTATAATTTGAATAAGGTAGGTAATATATCCTTGAGAGTTAGATTTGCTACTGTGAGTTTTAATTCTTTGCTTCCTTTTTATTTTTTATTTTCTAAAATTTATGAATAATTTGAATATTACTAATAACTAATATATTTTATTCTTAATATTATTAATAACTACTAATCATATGTTTAATCATTTGAGTAGTTATTTTGTTAACTCGTATAGTTGATTTTTTAATTAAATAAAATTTTCAATCATCATTCGAATCAAGTCCAACATGGAACTACTGAACTGTCTTGGCTAATTAGATGATTGTTAACTAACCATGATAAAACTATATAGTAGTATATATATATATATATTAGATAGCTTGTTAATGTATTTGTTGTAAAAAAAAAAAAAAACGGAAAGACTTTGATTGAGATTGAATATTAAGAGATTAGTACAGGTAGCTATGCTTATCATAATTATCATGCGGATGCTATCTTTCATCCTTATCTATATATTCATAACATATATCAGCCTATATCTGTACGTCTACAAAATCTGGGTCATCTAGATTACCATTTTCAAAACTTGAAACTCTTGAGCTGGTGATAATTAATTAACATATGTGAAGTTAAATTGCAATTTCAACCTCCTGCATGCCACTTTTAGGAATATTACTTGGTATTTGGTCAATGACCTTTTGACATACGACGGACACACCCGACTATCAAAATAAACCTGTTGATCGAATTTTTATAGAAAAAAGAAGAGATGAGTAGTTTTATACATGATATATACGTATATCTCTTAACAAAAAAAAAAAAAAAAACAAGAAAAAAAGAAAAGGAAAGGAAAATAATATTAGAAGAACATGTATTTATTATTGGTTAATATTTTTAGAGAGTAAATTTGAGTTTTTGGGCCGTGCTTTTCATGTAAAACAATAAAAATAATAACAATTTCAAAAATACAAGGAAGCTGTCTTTTGTATTATCGAACACGTAAATTTATGTCATTGCAGTAAACTGCATTTGTATGTATGTGGCACGGTACCATGGCTTTAAGCCAACACGTCCTGGTGAAGGAATGTACATTAACTTGTGCGATGCTACCATACAATTGATAAACTCCTCTTAAAATAAAGTGAAGCGGATATGCTTTTCTAAACCTTTAACGTACAGAACGTGAAACGCGATTGTAGCAATGAAATCATATATTCTCTTCAAATTTCTTTGTTGAGAAAGATTTTCAAGTTTTTATTTTTAAAATAAAAATGGGATAACTCAAAACATAATAAAAATATAAACCCAAAATTAATACCGGTAACTAAATTAGGCATTAAATCAAACAAATTGTTTTAATGTATAAAAATTTAATGATTCAGTTTTAAATGTTAAATATTTCTTTCCAAAATAATTGCATGTTGTATATTTTATGGGCTTCAAGATATATCACTTGGACTGCCCATCAGTTGGGTAAATGGGCCCCTTTTCTTTAGAAATGCTTCGCGAATCATTTGTTTCTTTTAGAAAAGCAAATAAAATGATTATTATCAAGAGGTTCAAATAGGTATTTTCTCGTATAAGTGTGTATTCAAATTAGATTTTTACAGTTTATATGCATTTTTATTTTTATTTTATTTAAAAATTATTATATTGTTAATAATATACAACAATTTAATTATAAAATATGTGAATTTATAACTAAAAAATATATATATATATAGTTATGCAAAATAATTTATTTTTAAAACCATCTTTATGGTTTTGGCGGAGATTTCCATATTAAAAGCGCGCGACCGTGGAAATTCATTTGCCAGTCCGTCTGTAAAACACTCCCACTCCCCCAACTTTTTTTCTTTTGTCAGAAATCACGGCGTAACCTCGATTTTCTTCAAGTCGAGGAGGAAGTTGGAAGCACCATTCCGATTAAGGTGAGAAGCAAGTCAGGCTTCAAGATCAAGGTAAAGCTTTCAGTTCCATTGATCGATTTCCTTTTTCCTTTTTATCTAAATTCGATAAATCTGGAAAACAAACTCGATTATCGTTCTGTTATTACCGGTTTCCTTGCTCGAGCTGAAGCTTTTTGTGTTACTTATTGTACGATTATGCGGAACTAGTGATCTGGCGAACTCTGTTACTTCCATTTTGTGAATTTTTAGGGAAATGTGCCGACGATTGGAGTACATTCCTTATTTGATTATTATTTTAAAAATCCTACAATTGATTTCTCATTCAGTTTCGTGAATTTTAACACAAAAGCTTTTTACGGATTTGTTACGTTCGTGGAGGACAGTAATACTCTCACCAAGCCACGGTTTGCAATCTGCTTTTGTTTTATAAGATGCATATTTCTTTCTTCTTTCTCGTAACGCGTATGTTTCTGGTGATCTTGCCATGAGAATGAATTTATTCCCCTTTTTCACAAACATATGGTTTTTATTTTCAAATGGAATGCTATGTATCAGTTACTAGGAACCTACCACAGCTTTATTGATGCAATTACGCGAGAAATCAATTTGGCTGGATTAATTTGGTTGGAAATGCTATTTCATGTAAGATTGGCTTTAGTTCATTTAGCAGTGAATTACTACTCCTAATTCTAATTTTAATAATGTTAACATATATAGTTAAAACATTATTTGTTGTATTTCAGATAACATTATTTCCATTTAAACTCATTTAAAGAAAAAAATTAAATTCCTAATCTTTAAGGTGGGAGTTGAATTTCTGTCAGCAAAAAAAAAAAAAAAAAAAAAAAAAAAAATTCAAGGTGGGATGGTAACTCAAATTTTTATTATTTAATATTAATATGAAGACTACCGCTCTGTCAAGAATAATCAATTAATTTTTTATGTACAGAATTTATTTGAAAATTCCAATTACTTAAAAAATGACATCCTATAAAATTTCAAACAGAATTGAAAGAGAGCCTTCTAAATTTCTTAAGAAATTAATGAAAATTTGGCATGTATTATTTAGTTCCACTTAGAGATCTCTAGAATGTCAATTTTATTTTTATATAATTTTTATTATTTTCTAATTTAACTAAGTATAAAAATTCAAATAAAATTCTGCAAAATAATTTATTTATTCTACACATAACTTAAATAGGAGAATTAAAACTAATAATTATTAGGAATTGAATGTATAGAAATATAAATAAAGTATAAATTTTAGAACGAGAATAATATTATAAGTTTAATCTTAATTCCAGATGGATTTGAGGTTTTGGGTTTTAGCTGGTAATCTATTACAATAGGATTCAATATGAGAGCGAAGTTAATCAGGTTGTGAAGTAAATATGAAAATTGTAGATACTATGTTCGAAATTATTGAGATGAAGGAATGAGTAGGAATTGATAAAATATGAACTAACAATAGTTAGACTGAGGAAACATCAAAACCCATTAGCTCTTACGGTACTAGTTGAAGGGCGCAAGTGTTTAAGCATATTTGCTCCTTTCTTATTTTCTACTCGTATGTGTTCCCATATATTTATTGTGTCTGAACAAGAGCTGTATCGTCCATGAACATTGGTTGCCATTTTTTCAGCTTGTTAACCAATCGCTGAAATGGACGGTGAGGACACTGGACTTTTGAGGAAACGCATTAAACCAATTGTATGTTTCTCTTTCTCCTTCGTCCTTCCAGCCTCAGTACCAGTTACAGAGAAATCAACTTTGTGCCTGCTAAAATGCCCGTATCTGATCTCGTGATTTTAGATAGAAGAGAAGGAAGGGGAGGTAACGGATGAGCCAACTTTAAATATGGTAGAGAATGAAGAAACTGAGGCTGAGGCTACCGTTGTAGGTTCTGAGGAAATGGAACTTGCTATTGCCCAAATTCTTGACAAGATTGAGCGCTTCACTCAGCTGGTAGCTATGTCAACAATGTCCATAAAGTTTATGAGTTGATATTGAACGGATCATCTTTTTTTTTCTTTCTTCACGAGTAACTGAGAGATGGAGCTAGTTCCTACATTGCAATTTGTATGGGTTCACGGAAGCGTAGGAAGCTTTTTCTGCTCATTGGTTCTTATATTTTGTAGTCTACTCATCTAGGTATCTGAGCTGCTAGAATCAGGGAAGACAATGTTCAAAGAACTAGGCAATTATTTTGAAGAGCAACTGATAACGTGAGTCATAAAAGAGCACTTGTAGAATTATAATTTACATAGTAGAGCTATTACTGGGTACGTGCTTTTTACATATATTTTGCATTGCAGGAGACATAAGGAACAAATGGAAAAATGGCAAGAGGAGATCAAAGAATTGCGCTTCCTTGATGCTTCGAATGAGGAGGCCAGTGCTATCTTGCATAATGCTCGTTATTTACTTCGGAACTCTCACATTGACATCTGAAGGTAATCCTCATTGATTGTTCCATCTTGTGCAATGGATATTAGCCAACTGTTCCATCTTGTGCTGTGCCCTAGATAAATGGAACTTTAGCTTTCTTAGGTTTTACTCCATGCGCAGCATATAATGGTCCAAATTTCTTAACTTTAACTCCCTAGGAAAGTATGGAATATGAGCCAGAGGAGAGCATCCTTAAAAAGCTATAAATGGGTGGCATAAATGGCTGTATGATAACTAGTGTTATACTAATACTTTTGCCATCAGTAGCCAGTTCAGCCAGGCTTTCAGGTTTGTGTAATAAGACCATTGAAGTTGTACGAAAAGAAAAAGGGCAAAAGGGTAACTTAGACAAGTGGGGAAACAAGAAATTGTAATGGGTTTTCCGTAATTCCCTTTTTCTGCTTATTCAACTTGTATCTATAGTAGTATAAAGAGTGTAACTGGTGGGAAAGAGCAATAACAGAAATTTGGATTCAGAATTCCTCAAGTTTGAACTCTCGTTCTCTCTCTTATTCTCGCACTCTTCTCTTTTCTGTCTCTATCTCTATGCTCTCTAGACAAGACAAGAGCTCATGAACAAAGCTCTTGACAGTTCGTGATGGCACATACACCTTAGATATGTTTTGAGCTTGCAGTTCACCACCTGAGTCCTGCCATTTGTTCGCAGATGATAGGATGTAGAATATGTGATGCTCATCCCTCGTAATTGAAACAAATCTTGCCAAAAATGCATCTGGGAAAATAGTCTTGATCATTGTCAATTTTAGCTGATAAACCATGCAACCTGAAAACAACATTCATAGATGTCTTTACCACTGTGATTGCCATATGTGATTGCTGCATAAGGATGAGTCAATGGCAGAAAGTAGACATTTTATGAGACGATCCACCATAACCAACACAGCCTCTCTTCTCCTTCAGTTTGTAAACCCTCAATTAAATTCATGGAAATACTTGTCCATGGTGCCTCTGGTACTGTGTTAGAAGTGGTGTTTAGGATGGTTGCCACATCATAAATCTGTTTGTGTTTAAATTTGAAAATTTTAAAGTAATGCTTCCTATCTTTTAGGAGTTTATTATTTTCTTATTTATCATGTGATCATGACCTATTTTTAGGATCATGAATTCAGTGGTTAGTTAATTTCAAATCTATATAATGTATGTTTTGAATTTAATGAAAAACTGAACTTCTCTATAAAGTTGTCTATGTTTTTCTGCTGCAACTTCGCTCTAACAATAATTGGTATCAGAACATCTTTTCTTAAGGGACCTGTAAGTGTTCTAGATTGATTTCAAGTGGCTGTCATGGATGCAGAATCCAGCTTCTCGTCGATCACTCCTCCCGTTTTTTACGGTGAAAATTATCAGATCTAGGCTATGAAGTCGAAGGTTTATCTAGATGCACTGCACCTCTGGGAAGCAGTAGAATATGACTACGTGATTCCTTTACTACCAAATAATTCCACAATGGCGCAGACCAAAATCATAAAAAAAAAAATATAAAGAAGTCGAAGGCAAAGGCTTGCCTATTTGCAGCAGTATCATAAACCATTTTTACCCAAGTCACATCGCTCAAATCAGCAAAAGCAATTTGGGATTATTTTAAATCAGAATATGAAGGTGATGAGAGAATCAAATGGATGCAAGTGTTGAATTTGATAAGAGATTTTGAACTACAAAAGATGAAGGAGTCGTAAACGATCAAAGAGTATTCTGACAGGCTTCTAAGCATCAGCAATAAAGTGAAATTGCTCAGTTCTAATCTACTCAACTCGAGAATAGTTGAAAAACTGCTAGTAACGGTGCCTGAAAAATTTGAGGCTACCATTACAACCTTAGGAAACGCAAGAGATTTGTCAAAAATCTCTCTTGCAGAACTCTTAAATGCTTTACAAGCACAAGAACATTGAAGGGTCATGAGATAGGAAGGACTAGTTGAGAGAGTTTTGCCTATGAAGCATCAAGACAATATGAAGAATAAAAAGAAGAAGGACAAGAAGACAAATATTGGTGGTGAAGCAGGCGTTAACAACAGTAAATGAAAAGGTGGAAATGCTGGTGGAAATCAGTCACCATGTCATCATTGTGGCAAAAAAGGCCTGTAATACTTTAAATTTAATTTTAATGTAATTTAAGATTTATTTATAAATATAATTTCTTAATTTTTTAATTTTTAATTTTAATTTAGAGTAAAAAAAGAAATAAAATTGATGGAGAATGAAATTGAAAGCAATTTTGGGGAAAATTGGTAAAAATTTCGATTATGCGAGTATTTTTGAAAGAAAAATCGGAAATCAGAGATCAAAACGTAATTTAGAAAAAAATAGTCACATAGGATGCCCGGTCAACTACCCCAACAAACCAAGACGCGCCACGTGGCAATGGACGCTGACGCGGTGCCACGCGGGGAACCACGCGGATGATCCGCATGCCTGCGATCAAACGGCCCAGGTCCGTTCCCGCGCGCACGGATGGCCTGGATGCGCTCCCTCCCAAATGCGATCGAATGGTTCAGATTGGATTGCGATGGACGGCACGGATTGGATCGCGATGAATGATCAAGATTCACTCCCTATTTAATCACGATCGGACGGTCCATATCAAACGCGATGGAGGGGCCAGATCAAAAGCAGACGGATATAAATAACTCCCATTCGCACCCAAATCCTAACCCTAGCTGCCAGCTCGCCGGAGAAGAAGACCTGGCCGCCGGGAAGGAGCCGCCGCATTGGAACCCTTTCCGATCGGCCAAAAAGGTAAAAAAAATTTCTTTTACTCGGAATTCAATTTTAAGTTCACCCATAGCCAAATCAGATCAAAAAGACTGGCCAATTGGCTGGAAAATGCCGGTGCAGCCCTGCGGCTTCGCCACGGAGAATTTCACAAAATGCCTCCGATGAGACCCTTCCCGATTCTCGTTCTGTGTAATTTTTTCACCGTTGTGATCACCGTGTCCTTCTCTACAGGTTGATCGGAACAAAACACCCAACCGTAACGTGAGCCGGAGTAGCCACCGCACCGGAAAGCCTCGCCGCCGGTGAGTTTCGATTTTTTGTATTTTTTCGGCCAACCAATGCTCTTTAACATGTTTTCTCGCAGGAATCGATGCAAAATCGGCCAAAAAAGGTCGACTCGAGGCGAACTGCCGCTGCTGTTGCCGGAGCACGGTGGAGCTGCCGTGTCGGAATTCCAAAATTGGCCAAATGGGCATTGGGACTAATTTTGGGTTTGTTTGGGACATTTGTAGGTACTATTAGCATGTTTTAATTCCCCCAAAAAAATTTAGAGAACTCGGGAATCGCCCGTAGGTGCAGTCGAACAGCTTAATTTTTCGGACATCAAATCGAGTAAGCACCTCTCATCCTATTTCTTATCATAAAAGTGAAGTTTAAATAAATAATAATATAGTATTTTAAGTGTGCATAATTAATTACGGATTAGTAATAGAGTCAGAAGCGAAAATTGTTCTCTATTGATTTCTGTTGATTTATTTTACAGTTTAAAAGTATGATAGTATTTGATTTATCAATTTTATTGTTTGAATGCATGTCTTGCTGCCTTACCGTTTAGTTGGAAAATTGAGATATGATTGTATTTTCTTATGCATGTTTGTTTGTTTGTGTGTTTATGGTTGATTTGGAAAATGGGGACTAACGGAAAATGGGAAAGTTGTGTAGGAAGATGAATAGATGAAAACGACAGCCTTACTGGATATCACGGGAGATGGTGGACGGACCAAGTTCATAAAGAACTCTACCGTGAAGGTTCTCATACCGGATGGGATATGGAGACATGATAATTTGGTGTTCATACCGGACGGAGCATTGAGATTTAATAATTTGGCGCTCATACCAGACGGGGTACGTGGACAGCCCGTAATTGAGATTGTTAAGGGAAAGGGTTCGCGTGTAGCGGGGACATCTTTATGAACACCCATGGATACTAGTAAACTGGCGAAAAAGTGACAGTTATTGTTTAGTTTATTAACGATGTATATAGACTTGTGATATGTGCCATGTTGCTGATTTTACATGAAACTATTATCTGTATGATATTAATTGTCTGCATAGGTTATTTTTATGAATCCCACTACGGTAAGTGAACGGTAAATGATTTTATTTATGATAAACGAATTTATTTAAATTAAGTGCTCTATTAGTATGTTGATTTTATATCAACCTTTACTTATGTGTCGGTGATATACTGTGATATTCTTACTGGAGTAGTGTAGTTCATTCCTTATTTAATCATTTCAGATCAAGAGGACCAGGTTTCAGAGTCTGATCCGCAGGAATATTGCGAGTAGATGTTACATTTCTTTATTTCCCGTTTATTTCCTTATTCTTATGTTTTTTTTAAAAAAGTGAATTTCGTAATGTTATTTGGTACTTTAAATTATTTATGTACGAAATGTAAACGCTGAACATTTATTACGCTTCCGCATTTTAATTTTCTTTTATTTCTTTTAAATATTTTCGGAGTCGTTACAAGGCCACCCTCATTTTCGGTGTTGGAGAAGACCTGATGCAAAATGCTGTAAATGCAATTAAACCGGTCATCAAGTTGTAATTTGTAAAGTTAAGACTCAACAGCGTAACATGAAAGCGCAGGCTGTTGATCAGGAGGAGGAGGACCAACTTTTTGTTGCAACATGTTTCACAAGTTGTGAATCAAGTGAAAGCTGGCTTGTTGATAGTGGTTGTACAAACCACATGATATATGACAAAAATATTTTCAAAGAGCTAAGAAGTACAAAATCCACAAAAGTCAGAATTGGAAATGGAGATTACATCTCAGTCAAAGGAAAAGGAACGGTTTCAATCACAGGGTGTGTAGCTACATCACTAATTTCTGATATACTTTATGTTCTTAGCATTAATCAGAATTTGCTCACTGTCGGTCAGCTAATTGAGAAAGGTTTCAAAGTGTATTTTGAAGACAATCACTCTTTGATTAAAGATGCAACAAATCAGGACATATTTAAGATCAAAATGATGAAGAAAAGCTTTATGTGGATCCTATAAAGAAAGAAGAATCAGCTTATTCAGTAAAAGAAAGTGTGACTAAAATTTGGCACAAGAAGTTTGGTCATTACCATCATCAAGCAATGCTCAGGCTAAATTTGTAGCAAATGGTAAGGGATTTACTTGCTCTCGAAAGTGATTTGCCCCACTACAAAGCATGTCAATTTGGAAAGCAGCATAGGCATTCATTTCCAACATCAACTTGGAAAGCAACAAAAAAATTGCAGCTGATACACACTGATCTTGCAGGTCCAATGAGGATACCCTCTCTCAACGATAGCTTATGTTACATTATATTTATTGATGATCTAATAAGAATGTGTTGAATTTTCTTTTTGAAATTTAAATATAAAGTTGTTAACCTATTCTGAAAGTTTAAAATAAAAGTAGAAAATGAAAATGGCAGCACAATCCAAACTTTGAAGTCAGATAATGGCACTGAGTACACATCATATCAATTTAATATTTTTTGTAATGAAGTAGGAATACAATATCAGTTAACAATACCGTACACTCCACAGTAAAATGGTGTTAGTGAAAGAAGGAATCGATTTATCATGGAAATGGCAAGATACATGTTGCATGACAAAGACTTAGCAAAGTTTTTTTGGGCAAAAGCTGCAAATACGACAGTTTTTCTCCAAAATACGCTTTCAACCATAGCAGTAAAAGATATAACACCATTTAAAGCATGGTTCGACTATAAACCCACAATGAGCTTTCTAAAAGTATTTAGGAGTCTTTGTTTCACTTATGGTTCCTCAAGTAAAATGCGATAAGCTGGATAGAATATCAATACCTAGAAATTTTGTTGGTAGAGCACCGTTTCAAAAGCTTATAAGATCTTTCATTCTCAAACAAAAAAAGACAACCATAAGCCGAGATGTATACTTTATGGACAGTGAAAAGTGGAATTGGTCCAAAAACAAGAACTCTCATCCAATCTCAACTGAGATAAAGATCTATTGTCCCATCCAAAAAAGGTACAAACATGGTGTAGATGAATGGGAGGATGAAGCTGTAGATGATGTTCCAATTAAAGGCACTCTTTTACTCTCTGATATATATCAGAGTTGTAATATAGCTATGTGTGAGCCAGCACGTGTTAATGAAGCAAAACTAAATAAAAAATGGATGGTTGCAATGAAGGAAGAGTTGTACATGATCGAGAAAAATAATACATAGCAGATTGTTGACGGACCTCCAGATAGAAAAATCATTTGAGTGAAATGGGTTTTCAAAACCAAACTCAATGCTGATGGCTCCATCAACAAGCAGAAGGCGAGGCTTGTGGTCAAAGGTTATGCCCAGATTTTCGGAGTGGACTACTCAGACACATTTGCACTAGTTGCCAGGCTAGACACCATTAGGTTGCTGCTTGCTGTTGCAGCACAAAAGGGCTAGAAAGTGTACCAGCTCGATGTTAAATCAGCATTTTTAATTGGTCTTTTGCAAGAAGAAATCGATGTTGAGCAACCAGAAGGCTTTGTGAAAAAAAGTGAAGAAGAAAAAGTTTTTCTTCTCAAGAAGGCTCTCTATGACTTGAAACAAGCTCCAAGAGTCTGGTACAACAGAATTGATGATCATCTGCTAAGTTTAGACTTTGAAAAAAGTCTATTTGAGTCTATCCTTTATGTCAAGTAATCTGATGTTAATA